TTGGTTTGCGTTCGTGTGACTTTCATACGGTACACGATAACCCAATGCTTCATCAGAAGCTAACCATGGTCCTACCATTAGTAATAGGTAAGTCCCTACAAATTTTTAAAACCACAATTAATGTTCCCCGGTTGTTTTCCTTCATATGTTAATATAATGGTAATCAATTTGTTGGTAGATATCACACACGACTGAGTTTTATAAGCCATACAATTGATGGGGTTAGGTTATTGTTGGTACTCGGGGTTAAAAACCACTTTGTGTAGTTGTGCCGGTAACAGATTCAGATTATTCAAGTCTATAACTGTTATAATGTCGGTTGAATTCAATACGATATTTTGACTACAAGAACTGTATTTTATTTAAGACTTTAAATACTATTTTTAAACTAAAGATACAAATCTCTAATTAATTCTTAAAGTAGAATGCCATTCATTATTTTTACTTTCAGACGTTTGCGTCATTATTTACAATATTCAAATAAAAATTGATTTTAATGTGACTTTTCGAGCCTCAATCTCCTCTATCTATTATCCTCTAAGGGCGACTTGCACAACGTTTATCTTAAATAGCTACTAAACAAAATTAGTTAAATGAAATTAAACGCAAAAACCCGTTTAACTTAAACAAATTTAGCGCCCTAATGCACAACGACGAAAGCAGGCTCATTTAGTTAAATATGTTTACGGGGCCGATAAAGCAGTTTCTACGTTCCGTTCCTCGTCATAACGTTGTTTTGTTATGATTATAACGATGATATACGCATGTTTTTGCATAAAACGAAACTCATGGTCATTGTTTATGAAAACAATGAAACGATTATTTTTTATAAAGGACGACTTACGCATTTGGTATATATCCTGTGTCACGGGGGACTTTACAAACATACATGAAACGGACACGAAGGACACCCAGACTCAGAACAACAAATTGTGGATCACACAAAGTGTCGTCCCATATAGGGATCGGACCCACAACACTCAGCGGAAAATACATAAATGAAAGCTACATAACCTCACTGATTGACCACACTTTGTAATATTACTAACGACTACTAATGTGGTGTCAGTGTGGAGTAATTAAATATACTATTAAGTATTATGATAGGACTATACTACAGGACATCTTTAAATGCAATATTTATAGGCACGCTCCGATCCTGCCGGCCGCTGTCACCGGGTATGGACGTACGGCGGCCCCTGCATTTTAAACCTCTGATATCTTCTCAAATATTAATTTCAACGATATGCTGTGAAGAGCATTTTTCTATTTAATTGGATAAGCTATGATGATGTATTGTTTAAAATAGCTTCGCAAATAACCCTTAATTTTTTTGTTATATTTAAAAGATAAAAATGGTTACTGTGGGTTATCCTTAGGAGATAGATATATACAATCGCGGACTTTTTGTAGATCGTTTTAAGATATACAATTCCGTAGTAAATTATATTGGTCTATCTCGTAATAACCATATATAAACCATGTTTTGTATGACAAATCTTTGAAATTCTTCGGATTTTCTCTAGTATAATATGTATGTAATATATTATACATAATAAACCTTAATCTTGAATCACTCTCTATTGGTGAAGATTGGCGTGGAATTTGAAAAGCGCTGCCTTAGTGGGTTCGTTTCCGTGACCGGGAATAATTTTAAAGGGTTTTCCGGAAAGGAAAAATAGCCTAGGTTACTCCTAATATAGACAGGTACCTGGTAGTAAAATATTATGAAATCAGTCCAGCCGTTTAGAAGATTACCCGAATAAACAGACAGATAGACAGACAAAAAACAATAAACTGGTTTTGGGGCATAGGTATAGTGCAGATAACCATGTGAGCATGAAAAAAACCTATTATTTCGACATTACAAACAGACACTTTAATTTTATTTATTTTTATAGATAAGTGATAAAACAAATATATCTAGAGCAACCAAATTCAACAAAGAAGAGCAGTTATTATTGTTTTCTGTAATGAGGCCCTATACTAATATTTTTGGGTGTAATAATAGCCGACCGAAAATAAGACCGACTCGTACCTAATGATAAAGTTGTCGAAATGCTCAAACAAAATCTCCGTACAAATTTATCTGCAGATATAGAGTTTAATAACTTGGACCGGGCTAAAACTTGCCGTACTATGGGTATATTTAAGTATTCTACAATGTCTTCATCATCGTCAGAACACAAATCAATCAAATCCAAATGCATATTTATAGCAATAAACTAACCTAAAATTTAAAACTGACTGACTGAGCAGATTTTCGTAAATTAACTTTGGAAGTTTCTTAAACGTGTTTAGCGACAAATTTATCCTTGTGCAAGATGCCAATTGTGTTTAACCATTTTAAACGCGTTTAGTCGGTATGTTTATTAACAGTGTGATTACAATTGCAATGGTACTAATTTGGCTCGAGTAGCTATGACTATTTTTTTCAATCCAAAAAAAACTAGAAACATTTGTGACGAAACACATTTGTCATTAGTTAGATAAAATGACAGTGCCGAGATTTGAAGGATCTTTATTGGATAGGGGAAACCAACTCCCAAGAGCATAAACCCCGTAGCTCTATCCCCGCAGTAAACGTACGCGTTAACTGTACTACAGAAACAAAACAACGAAGGTTTACATTACTTCTTCACAATCGGGAATGACATCCGTTTGAATTTATCGATAGTGGTGATCTGTTATAACCTCTTAGATGTAGCAATAAAACATGAATTTCACGAAAAACATTTTCATTTAAAATGTTGCCAAGACGAGTAGCTCGCACTGTCAAAAAGTAAACAGATGTCATATAGAGAAAAGCTTCTAACTCTACACGTCCTAACTCTACAAGTCTTTCATTAAAACCGCTACGCCTTAATCTAAATATGTATCGGACGGCAAGTATTTGCATCATCATCTACCACAGCGGGTACATACTAGGCGTTTAGGGCGCGCTTAATTCCATCCCCTAATTTAAAGGGTGGAGGATGATTTACAAAAAAAAACAGAAATATGTATTTCATTATTAATAACCAGAAGTCAAACTCCAACTCAAAATATCTTTTTTGCATAAAATTTGAAATCGTCTTAAACTCTGAAGTCATAGATCAACACACACTATCACAACAATCTGTTTTGTCAAATATTTAGTAAAAGGAAGTTAATCAATTACATGCCCGTGCCGATATACAACCACCCGTTTCAAAGGGGTTGAGCCTTATGAGAAGACATGGCAAACAAACTCACGACTGCTCTTTTTTAATTACAGCTAGATACAGTCGCATCATTAAATATATAACAACATTGTTTTGTGTGCGCCAGTATGTCAGTTATTAAGGACTAAAAGGTTAAAGCAATGTAGAGAAAATATTATAAGAAAAGGATGGAATAGAATTGAAAGTGAAGTAAAACATTTAAGATGAGAAAAATAAATAACACTAGCCTACACTACATTGGAAATATTGTTAAGAAATAGCCCCTTTTATATCAATTTTCAGACCTCAAGCTTCAAAATTTGCGGAAGTCTCATACAAACTTCCATTCCCTAAAGTTTAAGGGGTTGGGGGGAGCAAATGTTTTAGGTTTAAGTACTATTTTTTTGTTGTTTGTATGCTAACTAGCTTATGCGCCAAATTTCAACTTCCCAGGACTTCAAGAAGTACCCAAAGAATTTTAATGATCATCAATGAGTCAGTAACGAAATCGTTTTGTTTAGATAGCAATAAAATCTAAAGTATAGGAGCTGTACAATTGAAACAGTATGTATTTAATAAGTACACTATCCCGAGAATTTTGTACATCTAGTATAATCCGAACCCAAGTTATATGGATTCAAAAAAACGCTTCGCTTCGCTTATTCTTGGCGGGGGTGCTACCGTGCCCTCAAAACTAAGTAGATTAGGGGTGTTGAGGTGTGACCCGAAGTAAAAATTAATATGAAGCAAAAAACATGAAGCTAAGTAGATTAGGGGTGTTATAAAGCTTCGTAACTGGAACCGAAATCATGGATGACATAAATAAAAAATAATTCGAAGCCAAGAACTTAGAATATTTTAATAGGATGCTGCTAATGAGTATTTATATAAATAAGTAGATACAGTTCTTAAACTATACTTGTATTATATAAGTCTGTTGTATCATATAATGCTGATAGAACAAATAATGTGTCCATACTAATTTAAACTTTAAGTAGTAACAATTTGATAAAGCTGAAGATCATGTCATTGTCCTATTCTGGTTCTCAATTAAGTGAACTGTGGGGAGTTCCCACTCAGGAGGGGGTCATCTACCATCTGGCCCGAGGCTACTAGCACTCGTGTGGTTTTTAGTCGGTTCGAGGCCTACATAGCCACCGGTGGGTGGGAATTTCCGCACAGATTAAAAAAAAGGGTACAACTAGTTGAGCTAGTGCTTACATATTTTTGAGCTTTCATCTTAAAACAAAAACATCATAACATTCAAACTTTTAAACCGTCGCTTTCCATAATATAGTATAAATGTTTATTTATGTTTTCAGGAATTTTAAAGGTATATCGTGAGCGTGCTATTTTCCGTAAACACAATAAAATTAAATAACCATTTTGCTCGTTAATCGTTACTTTTTTAATCTATGGTGATGTCCCGATCGAGCAAAGACTGAGATTTTCACTGACAGTGAGAGCCGAACGATGAGTGTTCATTTCGTTCACATCATTCAACAAACGTCAAAGAAGTTGTAACTTTATTCGCTGATAATCATGTAGTTTTTTACTATATTGTACCAATAACTTCCCACGCTTTTACTTATTTATTAAAAGCAATAAAAATCGGATAGTTAACATAGTACTAATAGGTAGTTAAGTAAAAGCTATAGTGTTAATTCACAGAACTGCTGAGATGTGACGAGCGACATTGGCGAAATTATTCAGTTGAATCACAATGAAAGCGCTTTATAAATAACTGAAAGTAGTTCACCTACTAAGTGTAAAGAATAACATTTGTTTGTGTATCACAGTGTGTTATTGGTGTGCGAGATGACCGATAGTGCATTTGTTTCGAAACCGGCGCGCGGCTGGCTGCACCCTGACTCTATTCTCGCGAGCGATGGAATCACTTATGCAGTCAGAGTAAGCATCCTGTGTTGTTACTGTCATTACGATTGACAGGAAATTCTTGACAATTAGTTATCATATTCTATACCTATTTTCATATACCACACTACTCACCCACTGTAGCCTAGTAATACAAAAAACTACAATATGGTCATTCAATTGTTTTGTCTGCTTTAATGTCACCATCACATATTATTTTAAAATGTACAAAATAGACCATGTAAAGATAAGCCACTATGTATGTAATTTGTTAATTATGAGAGATAATTACCAATTTTGGAAATGTATCCATCCAAGAACACAATCCACAGTTAATTTCTTATAATCTATTATGAAACAGAAACTACACAGGGCTCCCACCATCCAATTTCTTTTACTTTCACACCTAGCACGAAACAGAATGTGTGGATTGCCTTCACTGTCTATGGAAATTCAAATGTTCTTACATGACTATGACTGACATGACTTACAAATTGAGAAAGATACTAATTGAGGAAAAAATGGTTTTCTTCCTCAATCACTTCATTCCTCAATAAAAACAACTTGAGAACTCATATAATAATCCTGACTCAGGCAAGGCCCATACTATGGTAACTAAACTCCAGAAAAATGTATATACTAAAATATTACTAAATAAAAATTACTTCACACATGTCATACATAATCGTCTGATCCCAAACTAGGCACAGCCTTAACTATAAAACCAAACTATTGATAAACATGCTTATATACATTTCTAACTACATACATGCATATAAAATACACTCAGGTACAGAATATAAATGATTTTTCTCATCACACAGCTATTTATATCAGTTGCAAAATGAACCCACAACTTCTAACTCTGTATTAAGGTTTTATATACCATTTGAATCATCAAGTGATGAAGTGAAGCAATCCTAACTGCAACACAAGTATGTTGCAGTTAGGATTGCTTCTTAAACATTAATATATTTTAAGATATAATATAGGCAAACACTGTTGCAATACCTGTTGCTTCCTAAAAGAAAACCTAATATAATAAATTTTTCAAAATAATAAATAAATTGTTTGAGTAACATTTGACTCATTTGGTTAGTAACAATAAATTTTCTTACAAACTATGTTAATCTATATCTATGACATCACTTATGTATGTGAATCCCTCCCACAAGTTCACCACAGAGGTAGAAAACTTGCCGCAGTGGTTCACGCACACAGCCAAGTCTGCTATTTTAACCTAGCAGTTGAATATAGAACCTTGCAATAATATACAGTGTCTGAAAATGTTTGAAAAGGGTACTGAGTGGCATGATTTTAACTGAAAACCCTTCAGTTCCTAACGAAATAGATCCTGTTGCAGATTTATTTATATACAAATAACAAAAGCACCAGGAATATGTAAATGAGAAAAATATAAAACTATATCATATATTATGATTTTTCCAGTATATTGGCTGTATGGAAGTACTAACATCAATGAAAAAACTTGACTTTGAAACAAGGTCTCAGGTAGCAAAGTAAGTACCTCCCCGTATTTTTTTTGCAAGAAAATACCTTCTTATTAGTATTCTAGACAAGAACCATCCTTGTCAGTATTTGAATCAATGTTGAATAGCAAACATGAAATCTATGAAGAACTGTATTGAAACTATAAAGTGACATTTCAAGTTCTGATGCACACTCACTCTATGGCAATAGGAGTCTTGACTGGTTCTCATTTAAGTTCAAGTTGTAATATTTTGTTTGTTATTCTACAACTCAATTGTAAATTAACCAGTGACTCAAATGCTTATCACAAATGGTTCTAAAAAGTGTGCTTTATTATTTCAGAGAATGTATCGCAAGAGTATGTGCAGCAGCTGGTCTACGGTCAGCAGACAAAAAACGAAGAGTGTGCCAAGCAGCAGTCCGTGCACTAGCTGCACGACCACGCATGGCACACTCTGGTGCAAATGTAGCTCTCACAATATCTTCTAAAGCAATAACATTGGCTGCCTTTGAAGGCGGAGAAACAATTGCCCGTCATGATATGCCTCGTGTATCTTTCGCTTCCGGTGGAGATACAGACTCCTTAGACTTTGTGGCGTATGTCGCCAAGTCTGCTCCACCAGCTGAGTGGAGAGCATGCTATATATTGGAGTGTGGAGGGAGACTAGCCCAAGATGTGATAGCTACAGTAGGACAGGCTTTTGAACTCCGTTTCAAGGAATTCTTAACGAAACCCTCAACGTAAGTACCTTTTTATTGTATTACGTCATATAAAACGAATACCGCAGATGCAACACATGCAGTGGTGACATAATAGCTTGTGCACACATTTGTTAGCGCAAGTTTTGGGTAGTAGTTTTGTACTGGCCTCAACAAGTATGTACACAATTCATTTGCTTTTTAATGTTCTAAATTCTGAGTTATGTCATGAATAATAATATCTATAAAGTCTGAATAAAATAAAGTAAACAAAGCTATATCAGGATACTTGTATTATTATAATCGTGTCGTATGGTATTCATTTGTATTCATACTTTCATTTATCATAAATGTTCAAATTATCATTTAATTGCATTTGACAATATTTTGACCGCGGCTCAGCCTGTATGTTGGCTATCGCTATAAAAAAAGTACTTATTCTTACTCGATAATTTACCTAACCATTTCTGAAAGAATTTTCAAAATCGGTTTAGTGGTTTAGGCGTGAAAGCGTAACAAACAAACAAACTTACTTTCTCATTTATGCTATAAGTATATATATATATACATATATATCTATAAACTTAACGTTCGATTCCCGAAGCAGTGTTTTCACTTACATGTTTAAAGATAGAATTATTCAGCATGTTTTTATGTATTATGTACCCTTTTTTTCTGTGCGACAATTCCATCGGTGTGGTGGTTACCTCGGCCTCGAACCAACCAAAAACTACACGCCGTCTCTTGTACTAGTAGCCGAGGAACCAGTACAAACTACTACAAATTCGTCAAATCTACGTACTACATACTTACGTATAATAATACGTGACTACGATTTTATCTCTAAAGAATATAAAAGTCAAATTTTGATGTGTTCGATATGTGTAGCACTTAAAAATTTGGCTTTTAGATTACTTAAAATCTATATCCAACAGAAGTGTAGATTGCTAATATATATAATAAATATAATCTGTTATAAATTCAAAACTTCTTTAAAATAGCTACCTACATCAAGTTTCTAATTCTACAGTTTTATTTTGACCTGGCATGTACTGAAAACACAGCTTACACTAGAAATGAACATCTTGATTTATATTACAAATACGTCAAAATAAATAAGCCAAACATTAAGTTTTTTCTCAACAAGCATATTTGTTACTAAATTAAATTTCATGCCAAGCGACGTAATTACGTTTAGTTTAATTATAAATTGTTAGATGGTAATCTAAAAAAAGGGCAATATGAACCACACTAACCAGTACTAACTAAGTAGGTACCAACCTACTGATGCTTTTAAACACTGCTTGCATAAGAATACTCGTACATATCTAGGTGTAATAGCATGTATTAGATATTTTTAGGTTTGTTAACCCGAATGACTCACAGAATCCTTATAGCATACCTGTAAAAGGTTTGCTTTCCTCCAGTTTACTCTTTTTAGGTGTCTTTACCTCAAAAAGAAAAAACCTAGCCCTTATAGGATCACTTTGTTCTCCATGGAGGTATCGCGTAACTATACTTTTGTAATTAAATCATAAAAAATATAGTCTTGATAAGTACGTAATCAATCATCCAGGTACAATTTCACTTATTAGACGCAATATAAGAAATGACTGAATTTCGGGAAAAGCTCGGAAAAAGCTAAGAAACTCGATTTCTGAAATATTTATAAAATGTACCTACAAAGTACGCAACCCTCGGTGGGCGAGTTCGACTCGTACTTGTCCGGATTTTATTTTGAAAGAAGAGTTTTATGTTTTAAGGGTGCTCGTAGGTTCCATACGTTAAAGTCTAATCAGATACATTTACAGATCACTATTACAGAAGAATTAAGACGTACAGATTACAGTCAACTTTCACTGAGGCAGTTTCTCTCATTATGCCTACTAATTGTCAAAATATCAAATATTCAGTGGTGTTGTTCACACTTTCAATAGATACACTTTTAAAAATATTTGCTATGTTTTATATTTTCTGTCTAACTTGTAATTGTTATTGTTTCATAAATAAATAAATAATTATCCGATAAATGATATCGGATCCTCTTCTTTACAGGAAAACATGTCTATCGTTTTCTATTCTTGCTTATCAAATCAATACTGAGTTTCAACCTTCCAAGGAATTATTATGAGTAATAGGTACATTTTGGCTATATTCGAAGAATGTGTTTAGATTGTCTTGACGCGACGGTGACGCAACAAAGAATAAAAGCAATTTAGGTAAAAGAAAAGATTATTAACTAAATTCGTGAGTGACTGTCGCGTTCCTTGACGTCATCTGTTGTTCAGCGATGTTGATTAAAAGTCGCAAGTATTTCTTTAATTCGTCGGTATGCGTGAACGTCAAAATGACGGGACGGGACATACACGCAGGCGGAGCAAAAGCTAGTATAAAATATGTATGTATAAATCTTGCATTTAATCAAAGTTAGAAAGAGTATTTCTCATCTTTATTTTAATATCTTTAAACTGAAAACCAATTTTTATTCTAAGTAGAATATGTTAGTATTAATCACCGTTATCTTTTATGTATTCGTTTATTTATACTAATATTTATTGTCGGCGTAAATGTAACATTGTTAGAGACATAAAAGTCACTCACACAGGTGATTCATCACATCACTATGGATCATTGTAATAATTAAAAGAGCATACGAAGCATTTCTCAGAAGTTATATATGTATTTGAGTCATCTCATGTTAGGTTGCCCCTATAAACTAATAATAATAATAAGTTGACACATCTCACACATGACAGTCTGATCCCAAACTGGGCAGCGCCTGTACAATGGTCACCAGACTACTGATAAACATCCACACTTAAAAATAAATGTGAAAGTGAGTTTTTTTTGTTTGTTGCGCTTTCGCGTCTCAACCACTCAACCGATTTTATAAATTCTTTCACCAATGGAAAGCTACATTAACAGCGAGTAACATAGGTCCTTTTACCGCGATAATCGACAAACATGCTGGCAGAGCCGCGGGTAAAAGCTAGTATTTTTTATATATATAATGTATTAAATATTCCTCACATATCTCACACACGGCCGTCTGATCCCAAACTAGGCATATCCTGTGTTATGGTAACCAGACTGCTGATTAACATGCTTATATATATTTTTAAATAGATACATATTATAGATAAATTACACCCAGACATAGAACAAATGACCGTGCTCATCACACAATATTTGTCCTAAGTGGGAATCGAACCCACGAACTCCGGTTTAGCAGTCAGGGTCACTAACCATTAGACCAACGGGCCCGTCAATACGTATAAAATACATAAATTCGACTTTTCTGATAAGGAATACGAGTATCATCATGTGTCATCACCGGCTATTTACCAGATTAAAAAAGAATCGATACCCCAAAATATGTATGCGTTATATCTATCTGCATCTCTTTTGGAATGATAAAAAGAATAAAAAATATGTGACAACCCTTACTTGAATCCAACAAACTGAGGAAGTCTCGAAGTATCTCATATTGAACACATAACTGCGAATTCTTCATGATAAAGAATTGAACAATAAAACTTTAAAGGAAATTTATAAACATTTATTTATATTTATAGGTTAAACCTGAACGGCTCGCGTCCAGTCTGTGAAAGCACAAGTGCTCAGGCCCAGGGTCCTGAAGACCGCGAGTACTACAACGACATGCCCGACAAGTCGCCGCCGGAGAACGTGCACGGTTACAGACACCCGCCACCACCTCCCCTCGGTTCTCTCGCACCTATATCTTCGTAAGTTTAGAATATTGTCTAGGTAATACACATAGTACAAAAGGTTAAACTAATACAGATACAGCTTTTAATAGACCACTGCTGGGCATAGGCCTCTCCTTAAAGAGAAAGTTTTGGCCTATATATACTATATTTTTTTCAAGTTTTCCTTCTCATTGCAGTACTGTTGACACTCCGTATTCTTAATCCACCATATGAAACAAACCTAGTTGTTATAAATTTAAAATATAATTCCAGTATTATGAGTTGTCATGAATGAAAGACCGCTTCCACCGTTTTCGGTTTCACATAAGTAATGTACCTTCGAAGCTATTTATTTAACTCGGTAACCAACAATTGTTTACACTGTTAATCAGTTAAAAGACATTTTGCATTTAGTATGAAGTGTTACAATTATTTATAGGTAAGCACCTCATGCACTATAAACAATAATATTCTAGGCTTATGCTAAATTTATATAATATAAGTAGGTTTTAAGCAAAAACAATGTACAAATTGATCTGCTCATTGTTATATTTTAGGTGCGAGGAAAGTGTGAGGCACTACGTGAACCAAACACCGCCGCCCCGCACCCCGCCCACCGCGCTGCTGCCCAATCATCACACCGATATATTCGATATGCGTGAGTATAAGGCACTGTACAATTAATTTTGTACACTATTTTAAAATGCAATATACCTATTTATAAAGTATCTATTGCGCGTTGGCCGGAACTCCCCCGTGAGATTTGGAGGCGGAAGTGCTCGCCGAAGTTTATCGGCGAGTGGCTGACTCCCGGGCGGAGAGCGGATTTCGCCCTCCGCCCGAGGATGTGCGCGAGTGGCGCGAAGCCGCTCGCCGAGCCACGATGGCTCGTTGGTCGTTCCGGCTGCAAACTCCACGCGCTGGCTTCGCCACCGTGGAGGCTCTCCAGCCGGTCATCGCCGAGTGGGCAGGGCGGCAGCACGGGACCCTTACCTGCTTTCCGGGCACGGTTGCTTCGGAAAGTACCTGCACTCGGTCGCTAGGAGGCTACCTTTGTCAACTGACACAATTAATTTTGTACACTATTTTAAAAGGCAATATACCTATTTATAAAGTATCTATTTATGTACGTATTGATGGAATAAGCTTTTCTTTAGCTATTGTCATGCAACTTTCACTTAATTTTTGTCATACGTAATAATCTAAACACGTTGTATTAAGGGTTACTCTACAGCTCTATCCGCAACTAGGAACATTAAATTACGTTGCATGTGATCTTCTGTAGGCTAGAGCTCGATTAATGCGACTGCCCCTGATTTAATAGAAGCAGTACCTATCCACAGAACCGTTCACGGCGGCGCCCATCACGTCGTCGTCGGCGGCGTCGTCGTCCTCCACGGCGTCGTCGGCGTGCGAGCCCGCGCACCCGCTCAGTGCGCAGGCGCAGGCCGCGCTGCTCGCGCAGGAGCCCTGGTTCCACGGACCTATCTCCAGGACTACCGCTGAAAAGGTACGATGCCACTTCCTCACTGACTGGCTCCATTGCTTGTCTAATTACATTTATAGACACTCCGAGCACTCTGTCCCTTTTAATAATAAAACGGTTAAAAGACAACTTTGCCAAATTAAAAAACATTACTTACGCTAATTAAAACATACGATAATTAAATCTAGTATAATTTTAATTGAAGACGACCATTTCATTTTAGAAAGTATATTAAAAAAATAAATTAAATTACAGTTGGTGGCAGAAGACGGTGAGTTTCTAGTGCGCGAGTCGGCCGCCTGCGCCGGGCAGTTCGTGCTCACGGGCGCCCGCCGCGGCACGCACAAACACTTGCTGCTCGTCGATCCTAAGGGAGTGGTGAGCTATGCACTTTTGATTCACTTTACTTACATTTAAACTTGCCAAAATGAACAATCCTAAGGTTGAAATATATTAAATAATTATTTTTACTGATATTGATTATTTGTTATATTTATTCCAGGTGAGAACGAAAGACCGCGTATTTGAGAGCGTACCCCATTTAATCAAATACCACTGCAGCAACGAGTTACCGATCGTGTCGGCGGACTCGGCGCTGTTACTGCGTAAGCCAGTGCTGCGAAGCGACGTGTCGTGAGATGTCCGACGACAACTGTAGTTAATACTTCAACGAAACGTTTAGCACCATTCCGAACCTCTTGTGACTTATTCGCCATCGTTATTAGACCCGCGTTATGAATTTCCTTTATTTTTATAGTGAAGGGTTACAATTACAGCGAAGGCCTGCTATTTTAGTATTGGATACCTTTGTCAACTGACATAATTGCTATAGCGATTGTGCTATCGAGTGTATCCGTTATAAATGCCCAAGTTGGCTGGCACTAATCATCATTCTCATTTTGAATTCGGTTAAAAATTATGACATTATGACTGTAAAACGCACTCATTAATAATTTTCTATCGGGTTCAACAGAGAATTTAAACTAGCTGCGCCAATATTTTTTTGTTTAAAATCTAAATAAACAAGGTAACATTTAATTCTCATCATTCCCTTATCTAATTCACGAACATTCTTCCAATATCTTTATGCATTTTTACTCTATTTTATGAGTAGTTTCGTTTTTAGAAAGAATAATATGGTACCAAAGTCGTGATGATTTGGTTTCGTTGGAATTTCAGCGCAAAAGAAATGTGATTTTTGCAATAAAAATAAACTTTTTATATGTTGAACTAGTCTTCACCAAATCATTATTTAAGTGTGAAGGCTGCTATCGTGTTTTAGTGCGTATGAGCGTATGGTAAGCTAATATCGTATTAAGAATAATGTTGGTGTGCAATTGACAATGCCAAACAATAGTCGCGACACAGACGTCTTATTTTTATATAAAGTATATTTTGCTATAAATCATATATTAAATTTGGCATGCCGAAGTGGCATTCTCATTGCGCACAAAGTTATAACAAGCTCTCTGCATTATAGTTTAAATTTATATGTTTACAATAACAGATAGGTGCTATAATGGCTTACTTAAATAATTTTATAAAATAATGTAGCAGTGTAACAATAAAATTGTACATAAGACCATCACAAAACACACTACTTTAAGACTGTTATTTTAGACTTAGTGATACAGAGTTTAGTGATAAAATTATAACGCTTTAAATTGTTTTCTCTTTAAATTCATTACCTAGTGTTTATTAGTAGAAAAGCAATACTAGAGGAAACACGTAGATTTGCAATGGTTACAATAATCGCAGGAGATAATATGATTGTTACACGAATGATAAGTGTTTTAACGTGGTTCGGCACCTCTTAATGATCTAATGCACTAAATAGACTCATAAAGTAAATGCAATAATTCATTGACGTACAAATCAATGTTATACATCGTCATAAAATATAGTTTATGAAAATATATTGAACTATCATTATTAATAAAATTGATGTATTTAAAATATAAATGTGATTTAAATAAACTATTTTGAAAATCAATAGACTTTTACTTAGATACGTTTGTGTTATATATTTTGTTTTAATTGGAATGTAAAAATACAAAGCAGATGTGATGTGGTTCAAGCCTCCAACCATACAAAATATTGCAGTTAGATAGATGACACTACTATTAAAGTGCTATTTCGTGGATCGATCAAGCTCTCCATGGAATTGGACTGAGCGTCACATCGTATTTGTGAGTTTCTCTGTATAAATACCTAAGAAATAATATTTAATGCAATTAAACAACCTACCTTGTGTGTGCGTGTTCTACGATTAGAGAACTAGTAACGGAAGTAGGGAGCAAGGTAAGGTCGGTGAGTTTAAAAGTGAAAATAGAGAGGTAAGTACAGTTTAATTGGGAACGCAAAGCATACACACATACACATAGTCATACTTACGGACATTGAAAATGTATCAAATTAACCTATGTACCTATTAAGAAGACGATCTAATTAAGGTCTGCATTCGGGTCGAAATAAAACACATCACCATCGTGGTGGGTACGCCTATGATGGTGGCATTTACTTATTCGTGTGAATTCTCTATTTATCCAATGTCCATCACGGGCGGAAGTCGTCTCTTCGAGTCTAGCCACTATAGCGGCTGGAGGGGAAAAACGTCCCAACCACTCGCGACCACACTCAGAACCTGGGAAGCGCGCCTCTGTCACCCTGTAAATTGGAGGTCGTCCTCCTGTGCTCATCCTTCTGCGAGATGATGTCTTCGCACAAGGATGTGACCGCAGTACAACAACTGTTGCTACCGGCCATGGAGGATATGTCGATCAGTAGCGAGAGTACCTCTGAGGAATCGACGCTGCGATACCCAAGCTGGGCAAATTGCCAGCGTGTATAAGCCGAGTCCTCACTGCAATCGCAGTGGTGACAGGCGGGATTGTATTCTAAGGAAAGCAACTGCGTCAATCGGACAGAAAGGGCGCCGAGCTGCCGTTCTCCCAATCGATGAAGACCGTGTGGACCCCTCCACAGCGGCGTAGCAAGTCAGTTAAGCCTCCAACCAACGAGGCATAGTGGCTCAATGAGCGGCATCACGCCACTAGCTTACCACTTCGGGCGGGGGCCGACTGCCGCTAGGCGGTCAAAGCCACTGTCTACACCTATGAATCGTACAATGCCATTGACCTGACAACAGCCGTCAGGCCCAGATTGACCACAATGGAGGCGATGTGGGTGGACCTCTTATACAGGGCCACCGTCAATGCACCCGACCACCAGGTGAAAAAATTCAACGAATGGAGGGAAGCTTTAATTGTTTCGGCACGAAATGTTTACTTAGTTTCCTCAATTTTAGCTCTATCTTTTTTCCATAGAGAACAGAAAAAATATATTGTCTTCATATCAACATTCTACAAGTAATTTTCGGTGTTGCAATGGAAACGGTATTTCATGAATATTTATAAAAAAATTCGACACATTAAAAAACAGGTGTAAGTTGCCCCACTGTGGTTGCGCGCATGATCACCATAGTCAATTATTGGAATTATTGAGGACTGCATGAGTGTAGTTTTAGGAAGCATGAAATTGACGATACAATGTTCGCAAGTATCTAGTTACTTTCTGGCTTACTTCACAAGTAACTTGAACTCGCCAGTTGAGGGTTGATTCGATGAGTAAGCCTAAGTCTTTGACTGCAGGACTGAATGGAATATCTGAGCCATTGAAGACGATCGGTGAGATAGAGGTAGTATCCAATTTGCTTATTATACGTTTGTTGCCGTCTATACGTGTCGTCTATACCAACTTACGACCACTTTTAAATTGCCTTCCGGAACATTAGAGAAGCACTCGGTAAAAAGGTTATGGCAAAGTCTTCTTTAGGAGTAAGTGAGCGTAGTTTAGTATCAGGGCGTTGGCGTGTTCCGTAACTAAAGGTTTACGACGTCATTAAAATTAATCATACATATCGAATATATTTGGTATTCAGTTTAGTCTATACTAATTTACAACCACTTTTAAATTTCCGTCCGAAACATCAGAGTAGCATTATAATTAGACATTTAAAATGCACTTCTCTAAGGAAGACTTTGCCATAACCTTTTTACCAGGCGCTTCTCTAATGTTTCGGAAGGAAATTTAAAGGGAGTCGTAAATTGGTATAGACTAAACTAAATATCAAATAGAGTATAGTAGATTTGTATACATTTAATATACATTTTTATGGTGTCATATTTATGACACCAAAAAAATGATTTGAAAAGCTTTCAGTTACGGTATTATCATGGTGGGCCCGCTGGAGAGCATACTGCCAGCATTTCATTTTTACAACGAAACTATAGATATACTTTTTTTTTACTTTTACTGTTTTTTTATACATTTATACAAGGTTATTGGGTAAGTTGACCTAGATACTTTAAAGGGTTGTAGTTGCCATCATTTCTGATAGAATTCATTATGAAATGCCATACCTAACCATTTTCAAGAAATAGGACTTTTTAAGTTTTTTTTTTCTTTGGCGAATATCGTAAAAAATACTATGACAGTTAAACTGCAGACTTGTTGAAAAACATGTACGTATTCTCAGCTATCTAACAATGTATAGGTAATTGTCTATGATAGTATACGAATTCTGAGTATTAAGAATTAGCGTACAACCCGGTAGTACCTAATTGAAAACTTTGCTTGTATTTTTGGACTGGTTCGTTTTCTATTCGTCTAACTATTGCTAAGTGGACTTTGATTTGTGCATCTGATACTGTTGAAGATGATGACTTATACCAATTTTAATATTTTGATTTCTTACGGATACTGCCAATGCGAACCCGCAAGAAATCGTGGATGAATACATAGCTCGCTATCGCGGCTGTCGAGTTCCGGATGTTATTGTGTTGGACGGAACCTATCGACAAATAAGAGTGAAGAGCTCTGTTTCAAGGCAAAGACCTGATCTGGGTAGATCACGTTTTACTCACGAAGATGATGAAGAAGACAACGAAATAGTTCAACAGGCAAAGACCAGGTGGAAAATGTTGAAGTTCCAAATGTAATAAAACAAAAGTAAACACGAAAACATTCAAAATGGTGAAATGGGATGCAGTTTAGGGGTTGAAAACGGTTTCTTGCGATTTGCGGCGAAACAAAACCTCCTCGCAGAAAATGTTTAATGCAAAAGTTGTAGATAATAAAAAATCTAAAACTTTTGTATTAACACTTTTTGACATAACCTTATATTAACCGTCAAAATTTCCGAAAAAGCGATATTTCAGTTTTTTTTTCTCGCGTACTATTTAATTTACATGAAAATTTGTAAAAGTAAGTCTATTTAGGTGTCAATAATCATGATTTTTTCGCAGCTCAGAAAATGCCTAGTTTTTGAGTTATGTACATTTTTCGAAAAAAAATCCCCTTATCTTCCACGAATTCGTGTTCTGCCATATTTCGGAGGTCTATAAGTAAGGTCACTTTAAGGGTACTTCATCGATTAACACCACGAGCTGTTAACACCACGGTACGAATCACAAATCGAAGCTTTTAGAAGTCGTCGTTTGGCACCAATGGTGTCGACGAATATCTTTATTGTATGTGGTCGATTCGCACCGGGGTGCGAACCACAGCAGTAGGTACTCTCTTTGACGTCGTTGATTAGGACCAACGATATTTTAGTATTAAAAAATAGTCAAGCAGAAAGGTGTTTATCGGATTTAGATTTATTTATTAAACCCAGAATGTTTCGTACCTATATAGGTGTATGTATGGGTTTGTAATAAGTTAAGAGTTAGGTAGATACCTACCTAGTTTAACACACGTTATTAAGATGCACGCAGTTAAAAATATAATTATGTAACCTAAGTGTAATTTGCCACATTTGATATAAAATGTAAAAGTTAAAAAGTAATACACAAATCGTTCTGTATTCAAAATTTTCTTATATTCATAGTGTAAATATTGACTTTAAAATGGTCTATCAATGTGACTTGGTGGTTTAATTATCGTCAAACCGCTTAAAATTGCGAAAAACTGGAAAAAATCTAAATCATTATTTTCTCAATATTTTAAATGCTTTTCCGTTTCCTTCATTATTTTTATAACAAGTAGTTTATATTAAATTATTTTTTTCTTTTTTACAAATATTCATTTGTTTTATTTCCAAAAACATATACCCGCAATTGTACAAAAATTTACAAAAAAAATATTCTAATATTAACTCTTGCGTTGCGGTTGTTCTACCTCTTTTATCACATTTGGAATTAGTAAAGTTGTTCTAAAAAATTGTATTAGGCAATTTTTTTTCTTGCTGATTAAATTTACAAAGCTTAAGGGGGGCCCGCCCCAGAGCAGCACACCTATAACACACACACATGAATGTTATAAAAGATCACACTAATATTATTAAAGCGAAAGTTAGTGTTTTAGTATGTTTGTTATTTTTAACGCTCAAATGGCAGGACCAATTTTAATAAAATTTGGTATGTATCAGCTAACACCCTAGATTAACACGTAGACTTGTGATCGCGAAGAAATGTAGTGTTCCCGTGGAATGACGAGTATTTGTGCCTATCTGAAAAACTGCGGTTAACCATGGGGCTCCATTAGTCTTAGTTTTAAGACACCTCGTCTTAGGTCTACCATTTAAAAGTTGAAGAATTAAGCTAATTTTCAAATTTATATTAATTGGCCTTATGATCAAATAATTTATATCTCAACATAGTTAATAGAAATAAAAATAAATATTTACATTCTTAAATTGCTTTATTAAAAAATGTAATTTACAGTATAAACAGTAAGGTCATACATGGCAGTGGTGTTATTATTACTTATAAATATTTCGGCATTCGCTATACACAATCCAAGCAACACTTCCATATTCGCCATCATTCCACTCGCCTTTGACACTTAAAAATAATACAGTCAACATTGATTCGTTACAACACATCAATAAAACTCCAAGGAAACAACAAACAGACAAGTGTCAAAGGCCAGCCGCCCCGCAATACTGCCAACCCTGAGCTTACATGCCTAGTCCATCCTAATTTTACATCAATCCAAGAAACAATTTTAATTACTCCTAATTTAAATACTGTCTAATTTAATTTATCAAACAAAGTCAACTCATTTAAAAACAAAAATCAATTTAATGTCAAATCCCAAATTTGTCAAATATTCATGCTACAAGTCAATAACCGTCAGTATTCAATTTTCCAGATGCCTAACAAGTACATTATAACATTCTTTGGGACATTGCAGCACTTTACGCCAGACCCTACTAAAACGTAGGGTCTCTTTCCGTGCAATTTTACTTAAACACTATGATTCGCTAAAGACTGTCTAAAAAATCAAACTAAGGTCACAGTACAATAAAATAAATAAATATGCCTCTATACAAAAATAACTCATTTATATCATGGTGAACACGTGAGAACTCGAGACCACGGCGGGCGGACCCGGCTGGTCCCGGATGGCGTTACTGCCCTGCAATTGACTTCTTATATCAATATCTCGCACAATTACAAAAGTGATCGAGGAGCGTGTAAATTGTAAAGATTCCGAATTACAAAATTACATTTTATCCCTAAAAATATTTTCATCGAGTCGTCGTTCGTACTATAAGGAGTCTTCTATTAAGAATAGACGACGAGTATTCGAGAAGTCTACGCGATCAAAACGATGACCTTCGTCGTGAACGCTACCTACGATCGGGGCAACTAGCTGGTTTCTAATACTGTGAACTGTGAGTCAGGGAATCACGCGCCATTTCTTTCGGAGACACTACGCACCGTCAAACGAAACCTAATTTCGCGACATGAAAACGATTATCTTCGACGAAACGAAACTAGTCATACACTCGCACACAAATAAATACAGGCACGATACGAGCGGGACTCGGTTACGAAGCGCTCACTCGAGCACCGCTCAGTCCGGTAACGGAGGGAGCGGCGTTTGAGGCGCGTGTAGGATAGAGGCGAGAGGCGGGCCGAGCGGAGGGCCGAGCGGAGCTCCCAGCGACGGGCCCACCGACGCCGGGCCCGGGGGAGGCGGCGCAGGTCGGTGTAGCGTAAAAGCGTCGTAAACCTGCGCGAGCTCGTCCATGTGATGCTCCTCCAGGCAGAGAAAGCCGGCCAGAGAGGGCGAGGCGCGGCGAGCGCACGCCAGGCAGTGCACCACGTGGCGCCGCTCGTGCTCGCGCACCAGCAGCGCGTGCCACACCTCGCGCTCGCACGCGCCGCAGTAGTGCGAGGCCTCGCCGCGCGCGCGCCCGTGGAAGCGCACCGGCACGTTGCGCGCGCGCACCGCGCCCAGCGTGCCCGCCGCGCCGCGCAGCGTCTGCAGCAGGCACGTGCGCATGGCACGGTGCAGGCGAGGGTCCGACACTCGTATGTTACGCGCCAGATTCCACGTCAAATGCACCATGGGCACGATTGACTTGAAGTTCTGTACCTTGTTCCACTCGTAACGTTCGAGGGCGAGGGAGTACTGGCGAGCGGTGAGCGGCCCGACGTTCCATGCGATGTTGTTGCACCAGCCCGTCGCCTGCACCCAGTGCACGCAGCCCGCGTTCACCCACACCAGATCGCCGGGGCGTTGAGTGAAGCGGTAGACCGGAACGCCGTGGGCTCGCAGCTCCTCGGGGTCGGGCCACCACGAGCCGTGAAGATACGACAGGCCGTGTCGTTCGCAGAGATCCCGCACGCCGCCCCAATACGCGTCCGGAACGCCAAACCACTCGCAGTCGCCAGGTCCGATATTGATATTTATAGAGCAAAAGTTATTATTCTCCTGGTGACCTGGTGTACGGCTGCCGGGGACCTTCATATACAACTGTACAGTGTTCATTCCCAGGATCACGTGCCCGACGTGAGATAACATGTTCGCGGCGGAAGCGACGCGAGCAAAGGCCGGCAACTTTTGAAGCTCCGTAAGTTGAGGCCGCCACTTGCGCTCGTCCGACAGATCGACGTTAGTTCCGAATCGTAGCATACGCGATGCACGACGACGTTTAACTGGACCAGAGCCGGATTCTCGTCCGTCTGAATCCGATAGTGCACCACCACCCGCAGTAGGTGCGGCGCCTCCCCTTTCCCGTTCCTCACGCAGGGACTCTTGAAATGAGCCGGCCTGGTACTGTGCGTACTTGCGTACGGTAGTATGGGACCTGTGGGATGCGCAAGCCCACACCCGACGACGTCCTGTCGGATCCCAGTTCTCATCAGCCGATTGCATCAGTTGAGTACGGACTTCTACTGCATGATCGGGCCAGGCTTCCACGAGTGTCTTTGTAGAGAAAAGACCGAGATCGAGTTTAAGAGCGGCGGTGAGGCCGCGCACCACAGCGATGGGATGTTTGAGGCAGAAGTCTTGCAGTTGTGGCGAAAACGCGTCGCGCTTGGACTCTACGTAAACGAAAGGTGCAGGTGGAGCGAGTTGTTCTGGAGTGAGGCGTGGCGGTGGCACGGGTGGCGGTGAAGGAGGTCCGCATCCATCGCCCAGCACCGACCACGACGTGGGCGGTCCGGCGTTCTCACTGAAAATATAATTTACCGTTCAACTAAACTACTAGGCTCACTATACTTAGCGAGGGAATAAAAAAATAATATTGTAAAAAAAAGTAAACGGCCACCAATAAGTACCTTTTACCATTACTTACCTGCAAGTGTCAAGTATTTGTTTGGAGTTCATTCCTATGTGAAACGTCACAGGTTTCAGCGGATCAGTCTTGAGTGGCTCCAGCTTAACGACGGGTTGTCGGCAGCCTAGTACGGCCTCGTTACTGCACGTCGCGTTGCTCGGAGTTTCTGCTAAAATTCAATACAGTAAAATACCTGTTACACTTTTAACATTTAGAGGGATCAATATTTCATGGTTTAACGTATTTACTGTTATTGGTTTAACATCAACAACCGGTACCGTAATATTTTTTATTTCATTTTAAGTTTTAAAAAACCACCTATATGAAGGCAAAACAATATCTCTTACACAAATCATTATAAAGAGAAATGACAGTGACAGCGAAGAAATTGTTTTAAAATAGAAAAAACTGGCATTCTAAATAAAGGTTGTATCAAAATTCATCAAATTGATAATTTGATTTTCTTGAAAACACGAATATTTTTTATTGTTTATTTTATTAATTGTTTTCTCCCAAGGACAACAAAAAACGCTGCGTGAAGTTTGTTCGCCCAACCACTGCTACTTAAGACAATTTAACAAAATAATAAGACACCTAATATAGATATATTATAGAGATAAAACATCAAAGCTTTAAAATTTAATTTCACATTTTAGCGAAAGGAACGCATTACGGCCGGTGTTTACAGGGTCGCACATTTTCCAACGCTGACAAAAGCGCTCAATCATTCTGTGGGACCTGTTCTCTTTGTGGCATTATGAGCTTTTGCACGTTGCTTTGTTCGCATTCAACGTTTAGACAGTACATCACTCTCCCTCATATAACAACTGACATGTCTATGATGGTTTATACTTAAATATCTATATGGATATGTATGTGGTAGGTTTTTACATAAGGTTTTTATGACCGATACGTGAAAACTAATGACGGTTTTGTATATACTTCATCCGTTGCTTTTAAGTTCTACCGGTTAAACACTCCAACCGTACAAGTCACACAGCATATCACACAGCGCTATCTAAAAAGGGGCTAAGCCAAGCTGTGTACTCCGTGCGTTTAGAATACGGATCCAAAGAGATATATTCATATATTTGCACTAAGCGGGTATCGAACCTTATAATGCTCGCCTCGTTACAGTAGACATCATTAACAACTACATTTGTTTAATAAAAATTATTATTTTTTTAAATTAATAATTATGATTCTCAACCGTGTATTCGATTTACGTTTGTATTCGATTCAAGTTTGATTGCCTTTTTTATAGTACTGAAAAGCAAACGAGAAGACGGGTCACCTGAAGGCTTAGTGTAAGCTTATTTCCAAACGCGCTAGCTGTCGAGAGCACGTTGATGTGAAATAACTAGGCCCTCCGATGGTAAGTCACAACCGCCGCCCATGGACAAGAGTAATTTAAAGAGTCACAAGTGCGTTGCCACCCTTTGAGTCCTGCGAACGAGGGAGGAGGGGCTTGGGCTCTGGTTACCTCACTCACTCAGTGAAAAACAGCTAAATAATTACTTAATACCAGTTTTGTGTGTGGTATCAATCCGACCCGCCCATTGTGCCGAAGCAAGGCTTTTCCACTTACTTATAAAACAATCTGTCTGTTTTTAACTCCTCAATCCACAGTGATAACGATCTTCTATAGTTATAGCAGGTTTGACAGAATATTTAATGAGGAATCCCTAAATCTTAGACAACAGATACCTAACAAATATTTAATTATTGAATTTATTTTTCATTTAAAATTAGAAACTGTTAAAAAAATCCGTCTATATTCGTTTTTCGTTACTACTCGTTAATTTTAGAATTTATTCTAGTTAAATAATTAAAACCATTAGATAATAGTTACATGTCATAAAAACGCCACAACTTACGATTTATCGCAAATAATTACAAACATTACAAATTGAACACAGCACCTTTTCACGCAGCTGAGCGGCGGGAAATAAGCAGCTGTTTGGTTTCACAAATAAAGTTTGTCTTTTTATTTTATTTTTAGGTCTGTGTGTTTTAAATGTATTTTGAATGAGAATGCTTGCATTTACTATTTTGAAAGGAATATTATGTAAAAAGCGTTCATCAGAGTGTGGTCAAATGTCACTGTGATGTTACAAAATAATGACTTTTAGCTAGTGTGCGCATCCATTCTGTTATTCATAATATCTTAGACTTTCAGGGTCAATGGGCCCCACCATCTTCTTTAGTCATTGCCCTACACCGACGAAGACTGGTATTTGTAACAGCCGGAACCGACACACCTATACGTTCTTCATTGCGTTGCATATTATTGTGAACAAAAATAAATGCATTACGATCATGTAGGTTCTTTTTAATAAAATCTTAATTCAAATTTATAAGTCATATACAATATGTAGAAGCACACTGGTGACAATGTGTTTAGTGACACTTAAAATCTACGGAACAATAGCTAAGCCGTGTAATGTTGGATGTCGCTACGTAGCATGCGACTCGAATACAAAGTTGTCATTCTAATTAATCTATGACACCATCGACGCAAACGAGTCACAGAAACGTTAGGTTAGGGCGATTAAGCATTTTAGTCAGCTAGTGACTGCAGTGTGACTAGACTTTGCTGGTTCTGCTTTCTGTTTCGTGCATAGTTATGATTTAGTATTGGTCATAAAATCAAATAACCTACCATCTTTGACAATCTTTTAAAATGTGGCACGGTGATATCTTTCGACTACATCACAAGTTCAATTTGCGTTTAGTACAAAAAAAAGCAGGAATTATAATAATCATAATGATTTATTTCAGATATAATTATGTGTCGGTATTTAAAAAAACGGTTTTGAGTATGTTTAACGGCGTTCTAAAACCAATTGTCAAACTGTTTTGTTGCGATATAAATAATATATGTAATATGCCTCAAAATATTAATATTATCATATTAGGGTACGACTATTTAACAATAACTCATCGCTTTATAATAGTCATACCTACCAAACACAGGCGGTACATACACTTGTTGACAAAATATATATAACATTTATAATGACTTGAATCATTGATAAGTGATTAATGATAAGTCATTAATGACTTATCATTAATCAATCATATTTAATACTCATTATTGTATTGTGTGTCTGTTTCTATTACGAGTATATACAGCACCAATCATTTCCCAATAACATAACCATTGTTAAAACCATTTTCATGTTTTATGAATTTTATTTATCATTTAAATTATCTTGTAATACTTCTATGAGTCAAGTTTCAGATTCCGACTATATTTGATCCTATTGGCCTACAAATAAAATGTTAACATAACAACTTACTGCAAATAGGCTCCTTCTTGATATCCGGTTGTGTGTCAGAAAATCTTTTTAAAAGATCTTCGGCGAGCGACTCTGCACTGTCGCCGCCGGTCGCGGTGCCTTCGCTCTTGGTCACCTATAATACAAAAAAATACATTATTAACAAATAGATATTGTTGATTATGACACATATATTACATCCTAAGACCTGCCGCCATATCTTATATTTAAGAGATAGATGTACAAGAATGTGTACAAACCGCACGCGTTCTCGCCGCTTGAGCCAGACGATACTGCGATAGTAGCTGCTGCATTAAAGTCTGCAAAAAAAGCTAAGATTAATGTTTAATTGAGAGCTAATGTTTTATAAAAAATTACTAATATATATGTTTATAAATAAATAAATGAAGTTGATTAACATCGTCAACATTTAAACGAGCGAAGCCGAAGGTAAAAGTTCCTTGTATAAAATATCAAAATTGGGTAATATGATATAAAATTTTGAATTATTCATTTAGTACTGAAACCACAGTTATTTAACCAAGGCTGTTTCTAAATAATAATCTAAAAACGAAGGTAAAAGATAACATATCAGATAGAAATTAATGTCCAATACTGTACTTGTTGTTGTGGCGACAAATTATGCGTGTTCTTCTGCAAGTACTGCAACGTTTGCAGTTGATGATGTGTTAATGGTGGTGGTTCTTCTGGTCTTTTGCCCGGGTACGGAGGTGGAGCAGATTTCGGTGCTCGCGATGACATTTCAGCAGATATAGGAAGATTCCAAGCCTCCTCGATAGCTGGTAGTTGACGACGCCTAAGGGAAATTTATAACTTAGTTTTAGCAGACTTAATTATTCGTCTAGATAGAATACTGAATGTCATTTTAAAAATGTTCAAAAATATAAAGAATCAGCAACTGACATTAGTTCATTTCATGGATTAATATTGCGTTAAGAAGAGCATAACATGAACTTTCGGAAATGATACATACTTTCCTGTAACTGACGGCATAGGCGCATGTGCTAAATGGGCCTTCAAGAACTCCAGCCTCTGTCTCAGTGCCCAAGCAGTAGCAGCCGCCCCGCCATTGGTGTAACAAGCAAAAGCGTCTTTAGGCATCTGACAGCTTTCGTACAGACTCCCTAAGTTCGTCCATGCCGCGGAATGGCCCTTGTCCAGCTGCACTGCACATATGTATGCTTGTAAGGCATCCATAGGTTGATTTTGTTGTTGATATAGCACGCTGCAAATGCAAATACAACCAATAAGCATAACTCGAATATAAAAAACCGAACAAAACAAGAAAATTGAAGACTTCTCACCCTATCGAACACCATGTATCAGCATTTCCTTCAGACTTTTCTACAGAGTTTCTATAGGCGATAAAAGCATCATGAACTTTGCCTTGAGCCGCAAAACATCTTCCTAAAAGGTATAGCCCTGCTCCAGAATCTGGTTCTGCATCGACAGCTCGCTTGAGACACCAGATGGCCGCCCGAGCTCGTGCTGCGGGTTCACCTAACGTTACGCATCGATGATACAGCCAACCTAAGACAAGTAAATACGATGAGACACACGCTCTGTATCGGTAACTAATAATATTACAGCGTAAATTGGTAAGTTAAAAGCGAAAGTGAAACAGTTCCCACGTGATTTAAACAATACTTGATCACGCGAGAAACAAATAGAAACCTTTTTATTGGACTTTACTGTAGAAAATTTTGGCTTTCAAAATAGAAGTTGTAAAGAATTAAAAAGATAATAAGAATATAATTACATATATTTCATTGCAATAAGGATAACTAACCTAGTTGTCTGCAAACATCAGCTTTCAAGGAAGAAGATAATTGTGGTTCTTTTAATAGTCTTTCATAAGCGTCCCGGGCAGCTTTCCTAAGGCCTTTCGCTTCAAGAAGGTGGGCGGCGTGGAAGCTCAGCTCGAGACGAGTGAAGGTTGCATCTTGATGCGGTGCAAGTCTCGCTCGTTTGAAATGCACGGCGGCGATGGTCCAGTGCCGCCGAGCCTTGAACATGAGAGCCAACCGCAGGTGCGCGTCCGCCGCCCGAGAGAACCCAGGCGACACGTACAGCGCCATTTGCAATGCCTTTGTCGCCCTGTCATTAAAAAAGTTAACGAAACACCCGTCATAAACATTGTGAAATTGAACAACACTTTTATTGTCAGTATTGTTTACCAGAATCCTGTAGAAACAAAAGATTGCATGCAATAAATAAAGCCAACAGTTTACATTTAAAAAGTCATACAAAAGACTTTGTTTTCTGCCGACCATCTAGAAAACAAAGTCAAAGTATCAGACTGACTTGCCGAAGTACAAGGTCAGACGATTCGTAAGTAGGTATTAAATATCTGTATATATGTAGAACTAGTACAGTTACTTCTTTTGTGAATATTTGGTGGTTATATGTATTCATATTATATTTTTATCACACACAAAGGCTAAACTGCATCCTCTAATTCAACTTTTTTGTGTGCAAGAGACGTTCAAAAGATCTATAGAAAAATTTCAAGTAAACGGATGAAGCACAATACCGTTTTTTCTTCCACTTAAATCTATCTTGATTCAAAGCGTTTGCTTTATAAATTTTGAGACGATATTTATAGGTATTTCACATAATGGACTCTGAAAAGAATTTATTTTTTGCAGCGATAGAATCTGGCCTCTATGTTCCTCAAAACAGGTACTTCGTCTAAATGACGTGAGAAGATCAAAATAAAATAAAAAAGTAATTTTGGAGAAAAATTTGAAGAATGCGGAGACGAAGACTTGTACATAAGTATAACAAAACACGGACTTAAACTATCCGTAAGGTTATTGAGGAGCGCATCACCGGAGCGTAACGTCACCGATGCGCCCGCGGGGTCGATGACCGTCTGAGGCTCGGTCGTGCAATCGATCGGACGATGCAACGCAACGTCTAGACAGCGATCGCTGTCCAAATCCGATGCCTATAACGCCTTTATTTAGATGACCTCCGATGACATTAAGTCGAAACAAAGAAGCGAGACAGGTGTCGTCCGGTGTTCACCCCGATACCGCCGACTAAAATTAAATGACGAATACACATACACACGTGTACATCCGTCAGTGTGAGGGTCATAGAAAGCTTTCACCGCGTCGCCGACGGATGCTCGACATACTTAATAATATTTCTACTTACACTATAACTTCTTATTCATAATATTGTTTGCTTGAAATTAACACCTTTCTACCTCTTCAGGGATAAAAATATTTAAGTTATGTATGTATGTGTATGTTTCTCTTAGATACACAAAGTTTATAGGTAAAAAATCCTAGTTTTTATTATCTGTAATAATCAAAACATCAGATGTATACGAACTTTTATCAGTTTTATCAACCTCATTGGTTACTAAAACCTTGACCTTGCTTGTGTTTAACATCTCTGAATAATGATAAAAATCCAAATTAAACGTCATCAATGTAAACTTTCGTTACAATTTGACAATTGGTAGGACGTTGCATGTATTTTATATAACGATAAAACACGCTGTAACAACGTAGTTCGCTGTACGTCCCTACACAAAGATAACGTTTGGTCTTTGTGCGATATCACCAAATAGGTTTATGGCTTAGACGTCACACCCGCACACGCGCCCTGATAATACATTATATTTACAAAACCACTACTATTGATAACATTGATCAATTCGTACGTATCTGTCACACAATAGTGAGTGGGATAAGCTCAAGCTCATTGATAACAGGCAGATGTAGAGTGCAATTTATTATTAATTTTATATTATGTACGTTCATTATCAATTATTATCATCTCAATCGCCGATCGCCGATGTTTTGGAAAGCCAGACAGCGTGGTATAAACATTGGAACTAATTTCTTTGCTCATTTACCCCCGGGGGAGGAGAGAGGGGGGCCTAATATTAATAATGTTAGTCAGATGTTATCTTTGATTTGCTGTCATTTTAATCTAATTTATTTAAAACCCATCTTTTTGGTTTTAATCGTGTTTTAATAGTTCGTTCACATTTAACTCCACTGAAATTAGTTTTTAGGAATCCGTTTAATCACAAATACGGCATTGTCATCATAATCAGCATATCGCGGTCCACTGCTGGACATAGGCCTCTCTAATTTCACGCCACTTAGATCGATCCTCGGCTACCGCATGTGCATATCAATAATATAACCACAGTCAATGTGTCTTTATTAAAATAATGATTCACTCATATCTAAAATTGTATCAACTTTGGCTTGTACCTAGGCATAATTTTATTATAACTTTACTTCCAGATAAATATAAACAACATTCAAATTGAACTGAGGTTTCGTATAAGAATAAATATTCCGAGTAAGCGACTGGATCGATTATATTCCGGTTCGCTACCTGCCCGGGCCCAACCTTGGGCATTATCAGTTCACTCAGGTAAGGAAATTGTATAGAACCCTACTTAGGTATACATACAAATCTCCACCATCTATTGAAATAAATGTATACTTCACTGAAGAAACATGAATCTGGTTCACTGTTAAATCGTATTTTAATATTCTAGAACGAACGAACATTTTTCAAATTACGAAGAGCTATTATTCTCTGACCAAAACGAGAGAAGATATAAATAACTTTGTTTAGATGACGTCATTACTTTATTTTGTACAATTGTGACATCCGGAAAACGTGAAAACGGAATATAAGTAGCAGTCCAATTGTTAGGTATGCGAATGGTGATCACGTGGATAAGAGCGTGATGGTTGGAGCACACACAGGCAAGAGGCAGCTTGGCTTGACCTAGTTCTGCACACTCGCACGGCTGAAGGACGAATCGACCGCTATTAATAGAGTTCATTCGTAGGTCGTCATAGCACTGACTTTACATAACTGAAGTAAGCAGTCGCTAGGTGCGCCGCGCCCGCGACACGTGATCCCTCCACATAATAGACTTACTTTCCCACGGAACCGGTGAGCTCCATCACAACAACACAACGTGCAAAGCTGAAATTATTATTACGAGGGGTGTTAACATTGAATGCTATATACATAGAAGCGAAATTAGGTCAATGTTACGCCAACAGAGTAGACTGCTACAATTTCCATCCAAGACTAATTCAATTACATACGTCACCATTATATTCTCGTTATCAAATGTCTAATCAGCTACAAAGTCTACACCAATAAATTATACATTTTCTACCTTATTTTATAAATGCACCGCTGACGCAATCATGCAAAATATTCAACACAAACATGCAGTACACCTGACTGTACTTTACAACATTATTGCATCACGGCCTTGGCTCCACAGCAACTAAATGCATTCAGTACTAACTGCGATGCTATATTACTAGAACTACCTGTACGTTATGCATTAAATGCATGCATCATTAGCAGACGACTTTATAGCTTCCTTATAGCATTTGTCAAGTGATACAATGATCATTTTCATTGTACATGTAAAATAAATAGCTGTCATTAATTATTTTTTTAGCAAAGCAATTGCTTTAAATAGAGGTCGCATTAGCATAACAAATACAATTTTTGACCAAACAAGTTCTTAAGGGATAAGGGAATACAATTTCAGTTATCAAATAAACATGTTTCACAAGATATGCGCCAACGCCACACTGCAGCTATAAATAAATAAGTTCAAATAGCTTAGGAAAGCAACGTGTCACCGTGCACATAAATGATAATCAACGAGGGTTCGGTTATCGTCATACCAGTTGACCTAGTTTAGTCTCATTCGATACCACTTATACACATTCAGTAACCTACTCACAAAATGATCTCATGATCGCGATATTTTAGATATGTGCCGGCTATTTCGAGTACAGCCGCAATTCACTTTACAGTATTGAAATTAAGTGCTCATAAATACAGAGCAATTCATTTTCAATTCTATTTTATTCTAAGGGCAATAAGTCGCTGCTCGAGAAACATGTATTTTCAGTTCAGACGAAATTTCCCAACACGTTAGTAAATCTTAAAATGGTTTTCGAAGATTCGAAAGACATCTACAATGATTAAGTTCGATCTAACTCAATGAGTGTCCCACACATACTTTAAATTAAACCTTCATAATCGAACGTTGGGTAATGAAATAAGTTTACTTGTCGATAACAGCAAATGCGATATTAAAAACTGCCGTTATTATCGTCTCAATGCTAAACTAGAAATATACCTAGGCGAGAAACATTGTAAATGGTATGTATAAATAGATAAGCTTGTTATTTTATACCGTTCTTCATATACTGGCCGTACTTACCAATATATGCAGATATATGAAGAAGGCCAGTTAGAGGCTATCCGTACGATACCTAAGACTTAGGCTATCGTTTGTATAAGTATTGTTACGCGAATTAAGTCTCTTGTGGATAATACCAGCGTTAAGAAATAGTTTCTGCTTGTTGATATCGGTTTAGCTTTAGATAATATCAGGGACACAAGAGATAAATTAAAGAAAAATAATACATAGGTGGTTTATATTCTGCTTACTTACTACTTTCTTATAAAATGAGAACGTGATAAATTTAGCATCGCACATGAAAATATGCCTTACTGAAATACAATCACATGTCAAGACACAATAACGTTGTATTGAGGCGGAAGTGAGCCGACCGGCTCAGCTGCACGTTGCACTCGCACAACCAACTCAGTATGCATCGTGCACATCCATAAAATCAGATGTTTTTGCTACAGTACAATAATGCAACTTATCAACTTCATTATAAAACAGGTTCGCCTCGACTACTTGTGTCAATAAATTTTATTTGCACATGTTGTTGTATAATAACTACTTGATTAATGACATCAGTTGTTTTTATTTAACAGATCCATTATATCATACTGAAAATCAATCAAAATATTGAAGGTCACATTTAAAAAACTTAAAATATGTTGATAATATTAAAGCAGAAGATTTTAAACCCTTTTAGCTCTACAATCACATAAACTGAGGGTCCCCCTATGTTAAAAAGACAGACTACTATTATTATTTATTAAATTACAAACAGAGTGCCCTTGATAACTACCCCATACGATTTCCAGTACACAAGTGTTCTAACAAGTTCAATACCTATTTACATGCAGGAGTATTAAAAAA